AGCTCAGAATCATACGGACGAATTCCGTTTCTGGAGACACATATTTTCCGTCGTAGCAAGTCTATTCTAACCGTGAGTTTTCACCCAATGCGGAGGTTTAAGTCGAGTGAGATTTGATCTAAACGCATTATAATATCAGCTAATTACTACCATCAGGTGAAGTTCTGCATTGATATTTGAATAAGTTCTAGGGGAGTGTTTTACAAGCAAACAGTATCGACCAAAATGTTAGTAGTCTGAAATGCTAGCCTGTCAATGATATATCATTCGCGTGGACAACTTTTATGAAAATATACAGTCGTTTGCATGTAGGTCAAAGAAAATTGGGGTTGTGGTTTGAGAATGGATCAAAACTAAATGAATCGTTCATAGAAATACTAAAAAGCAACATCGATAGGGATATCTGCAATGTTTTTCACTTACGGACGGCTGAAAAGAATACTTTCACTACTAAATTTAATCGATTCATTCAACTGCCCATTGAGCAGTCCTGAAATCATCTATCCAACAGAGTCTAGCATTTCGCGTACTTGTGAATGATACAACAACCCCGAAGCCTATCGGTAAGCAGCCATTGCTCTTTTACCTTAGTTTGATTTGTAGTAGTGTTTAAAGTTGAACTTGTTTTCGTTCACGGACTTTACTGAACGGGCTTTCAGAGTTCAGGGCTAGTGCTCACAATCGAGAACGTATTTAACTTATTATATCTGTTAACCTGTGACAAGTGTAGCCTCCCCTATGACACTCAAGAGGAGGGTTTGTAGATTAGATAAATAATCTCTTCAAAAAAGCCGGATAACTCGAGGATGACAAGAGTCTTAGTTTAACATCTTTTGTCAACAATTTTCTATTTTTCAGTTGTTGCATTTTTCATTGTGCAATAGTATTTCTGTCTAAAAATTAATGATTTTTATACGTATAAATTAAATGATCGCGATATCATTAGGTGATTTACTGATCATCTTGTGGTGACTTTATTCAATCTCTTTCTCCGTTTATATTTTGAGCAAATTCTTCGTACATGATTCAATTACTTTGTGTAGTCTCCATTAACGCTATGAATAACTTGAATTTGGGCTACAACTGTTCTACTTCGGTAACGCTGCCATGACCAGTACGGTTACATAAACTTATTCATGCGTGATGTCACACATTTCCTGGCTGCAGGAGTTTGCCGTCAATTGGTGTATTCAGTTATCAGTACGAAAAAAAACAAAGTAAATAGTTCCAGATACTGCTCCACTGTCGCTGCATATGAAAGTCAGGGTGGGAACACAAGTTTATTTTTCGGTTGTAAATCCGTTATTTTATAACGATACTAAAGGTGTAGGACCGTTGAAAACCGGAGACCGTAGTAGTGAAATAAAACTGGTGGAAGTTACACCTGGTAATTTACAATGCCGATCTCATGCTGAAACGTGCTTGACATGATTCGTTCATTGAACTCCTGTGGGGGTCCGACAACACATACAGTTGATAGAATCAAACAGTTAGCAGCAGACGGTAGACAGACAATTCGTTCACATGGATCACGAATCAATGTAACGTTGTGAACGGTTTCAAATGCTAGGGCCTTTTCTAGTGATTGAATATCAGCTGCCAATAGGAAAATCACATGTACTACAAACTGGTAAACCTCAAGTAACCAGTAATGAGTGTTGTATAGACGTTCTTTCCTAGTGGGACTCGTCATTGGTGCGGTCTATTTTTAATATTCCTGGTGAGACCCAAGCCCCGAATATTTGTTTTCGGTGATGGAATTCCCACCCTCCCCCAGAGCTACTTCATCGATGACCAAAACTGTTGCTCGTGGATTTGAGAGTGCAATCAACGGATCTCAGGATTGTGAACTAGTATGGATTAGCACAACACCAAAGAAATCATTCACAAACGGTAATCAAAAAGACTTCACGAATGAATTGCAAGAAGCTGATTGATATGATGTAGCAGGTTGCAAATGAGGTCAGCTGAAAAACTGTGTAAAGGTAAAAACGGAAACGAACAGCGAATCATGATAAAACTTGTCGTTGCACTGTTGCTTTACACGATAACCTTTAGCGCTCAGAAGGCGATTCAACTTCCCAGTTCAATCGGAACACGTATGCAAAGGAAATGCGTTCGAATCGATTTCGGCCGTGTTGGATCGCAATGTGTCCTTCAAACCCCTTTGAAAATAAACTCGGATTGTTTTTCTGTAATAATCCTGGTTGACCGGCAGAGGAGTTTTGTGGATACAAATTACATGGTGCACCGCACCCTACTTGATCTCACACTAACCTGTGAAGTGATTCACGGTTTTTTGATCAAAGCGCGAGCAGGAACCCTGCATTCAATGAGCATGAATTTGTTACAGTCAAGTTAACAGGGTAGGAGAAATATTCTCGATTGACTGATCATCTGAACATAAGTTTGGGAGCAAGCTGGTTTTAATGCATTATTATATGCTGACTATACACACAAATTCTATGATTGACCAAAATAGGACAGATGCGTTCAATTCGATATCAAAAAGATCAACCATATTCAGTTAAGTTGATATAACTGGGATGAGTGATGTGCATGGGTGACTGACTGAGTCATAAAAAATTGACTTACATTTCATGAAGACAGATTATGTCACGCTTTTGTTCATGCGTGGCCTTAGAAAGAACAATACTCTTATAAAATGTTTATGAGCTCTCAAAGAGGGGCTCTGGCGGAAGATTGCTTTGTTAATCATTCACTTTGAAAGTCGCTTTTGTTACAGTCGTATAGACATCTGGAAGTTCTGAATGAGGTTTCTTCTGATATATCGGGACGAAATTAGATGACGGATGTATTATCCCGTACTTATCTCCGTACATTGCACGGATCTACAAATGAACTCATTCACGGTCTTCTATAAAATTATGCCCAGCTGTGCGAGGATATTTATGGATTTCGTCTTCAGCGTTAAGCTTGCTTTCGGATAACCTTTGTGGATCTTGATCGAATATGTTCGGTCTATTTTGTATCTGACTTCCACTTCGTGCCTGGATAAATATCTAACATATTGCTTTCCGTCAGTCGATGTAACAAAATGGATAAATAATGGTTGGTTTGTTCATTAGATTTTATCAACACCATCAGTGAATGGATCGCCAACCAACAGCATTGGAATCACAGCAAAGGTGTTTTTAGGAATGGTCGGCAGCGCATATTCGAGGGGTGTATGGGCGTTCTATTCTGGACTTATCACTTGTTGACATCATGATCACAAAGTGTTTTGATTCACACGTAATTGAAGTAAAATTCTCAACTGTTGGACGTTGCAAATCTAAGTACAGTTTTCTGTCCTTCAGCATAGCGGCGTTAGTGAATAAATCACGATCTATTAGGGTGTCACCAGGGATTATGCTGGTTCCAAAAGGGGAGGTCATAACTTCAAAGGAGTGTGAAAGTATCTGTGTTGGATTCCTTGGTTTGATCGATTCTCAGCCATTGATAAATCATAGTTTTCTGCATGATGGAACACAGTATTATATTATGAACAGTATGACACATGCAACTTCCATTGCTTGTCAGTTTTTTTCGTTTACAAAATGTGACAACCGAATGGCGCAATATCAATGAAGAAATGTTCGACTGGCAAATTCCTTGGATTTCACTGAGTTCGGTCGGAGAGAGACGGATTTCAAAAGAAATTCCATGGGTAACCTAATAGCGAGATGACCCCTTTCGTGGGGGTGATTTCAAGGTTGTAGATATACCTCCGGGAAATATGTAAAATTAATACTGTTTGTCTTAGAAGGTCATCCAGGCGAGGGAATGATAAATTATGTTTCAAAGAAAGGTTTTGTCCTCACCTGACTGAAACACAAACGAACAAATTCTCCATTTAATCCAGGAACTCAATATGACAGAAGCCCGTAATTATTTTTACTTTCAATTACTCTCACAGATTTGTAATTTTGATCCAAACGTAAGGATGCTTTGAGGTGCACTCTTCTGCTTTCATGTCATTTAATAACGAAAGAAACCGAATAAGTCATGGCAGCTGAAGCTATTGCAATCGCCGCAACAGAGTGCTTTTAAAGAAAACTGGTAAAACGAAAACCGAAATGAATTGATCAAGTGTAATCTGTCAACTTGATCCTCTTGTTCATGAATGCCTGGATGATCAATTTGAGTTGTTACATCTTTACTAGTTCTATCGATTGTTTGAAGGTCACACGGACATGCTAAATGCAGAGTTCACATTTGTTTCTGAGTCCAGTTCTGTTTTGGGAAAACAAACATGCAATTTCTACCATAAATCAGTATACTTAACCCATTCGTGGTGTTATAATTTCACAAGGCGGTACCAGAACGAGTATAGTTGCTAATTATGAACAACGGTCAGAGTATCGATAAATTGACATACGTACGACAAAATGTCTCATTTGGAACGAGTCTTCAGAATTTCCACACGCACGCAGGATAACTAATGGAATGGATCAATAGTACGCATTCTTGTGGTTTACATACTGAACATAAAACTTCCAAAGGGTCTTGTTCCTTTTGACCGTTTAAAGAAACCACCAACCGCGTCCATTTGCGCACTACTGAAAAATATGAGTATTATCTCACAACCTTATTGGTCGTTCATTACTTTCAGTTCGATAAGTTTACATTCTTTTCTAGATTAATCACAGTCTTATTATTTGAACACAAATCCGAAAGCGAACAATTGTTTTCGAATGCTTCATAAACTTGTCCTTAAAGATCACATCAGGGTTTGGTGTTGGTGTGGTCACATTTCCACACAGGGTCGAAAGGTCATTCGGGATGTGGCGAGAGGAGTTGACCGATGTGTCTGAATGTTTAGAGGCAATTCCTTGTGATTGAGTACTGGTGGTGAATGTGATGTTGAGCCAGTTGCTTTTGTGGGCATAGTTCTGTTGAGAAAAGGCGAAGGCCACTCGCCTCGGCGGTGTTTGGTGTGTGTGTGAGCGCACTCACTGGTTCTGAGGTATTGAGGGGCGCAAGATAGATCTCCCTGAACGGTGAATGTTGTCTAATTTGATGACCTTTATCATCTTCCCTCCTCTTGAACCGAATAACCTTCGATGCAGCGTGAAAATGTGTCTCCCCTAACATCAAACCGCTATATGATCTGTCAAGGCAGAGTAATGAATTATTCGAAAACAGTTGTTCGCCTTCAGAACACTGTTCCCATATTGGAATTGGAAGCAGTCTTATTAATCAAGAGCAATTTGAGAGTCACAAGGGCCTGTATATTTGCTGTTTCGATATGGGTTTCACCGCTACAGATCCATTGAACACCCCGTATTTTCATTATATTTGGGAATCTTTTGTGTCTGACTAAAAACAGTTTCTTCATTGTTGGGACCAGTCAACGACATGGATCGTTCTTGTGTCTAACGAAAATCACATGCTAAACCTTCAGACCTTCAGCAGAAATCTTTGTCCAAAAACCCATACCTTGAATACTTGGCTGCACAAATTTAAACGCGACATTGTTAAGTCCTCGTGAATTGGCGGACATATGGTTCTGATCATTGATAACATTGTGTACGTCGGACTTAGTGGTGACTATTTCATTCAACGAAGGCATGAAGAAATCACAACAACCACCTTGGCAATAATCTAATGGTTATATTTGATCAGTTATTGGAGTACAGAATTGTGCATTTTTCTTTACTGAACCTCAAAGAGGATTAATTGGATAATGTGCAGAATATTCAGTTTGGAGCCATGAAACAAATTTAAACAATTCTAAACGTGATTGCGGAAAATTACTTTTTCGTTATGCGGTGAGGCCATATCGATTTGGATGTTGTTCACATTTTATTAACTCTCATCTGAATAACCATTTCAGTTTATATTTGAAACCTCATCTTGCACAAACCATAAGGATATCAAACTTGTGAATCCATAAATTTGATTTAGGATCGTCAACCTGAGCACATTGCATATTTTACCATCCGGGACGTATACTTAGATCCTTATCATTCTGCTTATTCAACTTCATATGGTCAGTTTTTAGGCGAGTGTTCACAAATTTTGCCTATCCACTTCTTATTATTCCAGTGTTCACTGTCCACCTGTGGAACACACTTTGCGCAAACACAGGTGATGGAAATCATGTTTGGCTTCGTGAAGCTTATTTGTGAACGTACATTTGTCACACAGAGCCAACATTTCTTGCCTTGAAAGCATTATACACCTGTTTCTTTATTGATGATGTTCGTTACCAATGCATCTAAACAACTTCCATTGTGTGGTAGAAATTGGCGTCGTATTGGCATAATAGGAAATCTCACTGTCATCATCACTAACTTGAGTTCTTGAAAAACGTTTGCACGCATTAACTGATCCTTTTTTTGTGGTTTCCTTTTGCCATAGTGGATTCACACCATATAGTGTGACAATCGTGTTTTATTATACGAACGAATTAGACATCGTATTCTTAAGAAGATTGCTTACCGTATCCAAAGAATGGGGGAACAGACCAGGTGAGTGACCAGCACCAAATTATGATCAGCATAACAGTGAGTCGTGAGGCCGGATT